GCCCGCCAAAATTCCGGGGGGTGGGGTCAAGTAATCCCATTGAGATCCCCCCCCCCCCAGCTGACGCCCATGCTGACAAGGTATCGTCACCAACGACCACATCGATGCCGTACCAGTCTATAAAAAACAGTAGGATCTTCCTCCCTTCAGCCACGATGCTGGCGTTCGTGTTTCGACCAAAATACCGGTGTGTTTTGTTCCACTGCTCGCTGGCAAATTCTTTGCTTTCACCGCTAATCACACTGCCGTGGCCAACCATAGTGTAGACAGCGCACATGGCTTTTTCTCTCGGCTCCACTACTGTATTACCGATGCGTAGTAACACTCGTAGCAAAAGAGATTGAATTCCTTAAACAAAGGAACGGAGTAACCCTAATGCAAGAGATATATGCAGGGTATATTTTTGCAAAGGTATGTTAAAACTTTCAGTTTCAAGACCCAGACACTTGTTTAAGCCTAGGTCCCAACCGAACGTACGGGCTGCTACGTGTGGTCTACGGCCAAAAAAAAAAGGGGAAAACGTGGGAGTTCGCGCGTGAGGAGAATGTCCATCGTGCGACTTTTGGAGGACGCAAATAGCACTTAGACACTTTTCGACATGATCAACAGCCGCTACGTGCGATCTAGCTACGTCCTAGCCGGATGCAAGGAACTTAAAACCGTGCGTCCAAAAGGTAGTTGGGACCTAGGCTTTACTTGACGTATTTACTGTTGACTCACCATGTTCCAGTTTTCGGTAACTATTATGTGGCGGATGTGTCTCTGGGGATATTTTTGGCACACCTCTCCCATCTAGTGAACGACAACTACTAACTGTGTTGTGCAATATTCAAATAGAATACAATTAGTTTTAAGGTTAATGGTACCATTATTTTGTCGCAATTTTCATGTTTCTGTCTAGATAGAATCACTTTAAGTAACATTGAATGGGAAGTGAAATGACAATATTTTTAAGATATGCACTGTAACTGAATGGTTCAAAAATGCCACTGATGTGGCATGAACACTGTCAAATTCTAAACAACCAGTTAAACAGCAACAAACTAACAATTAACTCTAAGAAGAGAAAAAATATGTATTGCACTTTACTTCTCAAATAAGGATATTTTTGAGTACTGCAGAGAAAGAGAGTGTTTCAGATGTTACTGTACATAATCCAGGCTTAACTGCTACAATAAGTTTAGGATATAGTGTCGTTACAAATCCCAGATTTCACACAAGGACCTTCAATTATAAAATGGCTGAATAGATTACAAATTATTAAGTGCCTAAGCTTTGGGCAAGAACTTGTACAACTTCTTGCTTTAAAGCACCCACCAACAAATCCACGCCATATTTTTAGACTTCATTGTTATCTTGATGCTGTTTGAGTAGGTAACTGGTTGTCCAAATTGTCATTGTTCTTCCTATGTGGTTAATCAGTGTTTTTTTTCGGACCAGTCATTGAATGCATTCCCTGATAAAATACTGCTGGTTTATTTCTGTTTTAAAGGTTACTTAAAGTTTTTCCATAAAGACACTAAACCCTTTGTTCATACGGGCTGCTCAAGAATTATAACGTGAAAATCGCAAAAAGATAACGGTACCATTAACTCTTTTTGACTGTCTATAAATTGAATACTTCACGACGCCGCTGTTCAGTTGTCAGTCAATGGATATACACTATATTACCTTCATCAAACGAGGCATCTTATCAGTAAACCAGACACTTTGTATTTATATAATAATGTGGATTATAATGATAACACTATTAGCAAAAACTCGGTTTTAATAACTTGTATTTTTCTATCTGTTCAGCAGTATCTCATCTCACCAAAAATCAGGATTTGTGCAACGTGGTGCACGCAGTGAGTGGATTCGCCGTTTTTTTAGTGAAGACGTTCTCTGCAAAACACATTATTTGTATTCATTATTTTATGTATCTTTTCAATGCCTGATTAGGTATTAGTGATTAGTTATTAGTAAAATTGCCCTATAGTACTTGACAGAAAGTAAGGAGAACTGAACACCTGGCTAAACTGCCGTCTTTGTTGAAGAACCACTCGAGTTTTCTGGGAGATCTTCCTTGGTTTGCCGGGCATCGAGAGAGAGAGAGAGAGAGAGAGAGAGAGACGTAAACACGAAAACATGAATCTTTGAAATGATATGTAGGCAGACGTACGCAGACGTATTTGATATACACGTTTTCGATTTTCTCTGATCATCAAGTATTTGAAACCCACAGTGCTTTTTCTCTTTTTATAATAGATTTAATTCCTACATTTATCTTGGTTGCCTTGACGCCTTCAGCAACCTGACAGATTATATGAAAAGATTCGATTCAAATGTTCTCTTTGTTTTCTCTTTCAGAAACTCTGGCCTGTCTAGCTAGCCCAGACCGAGTAACATTAGGAAATGGTGCTTAAAATAACACCTTTCTGCTCACAAAGTCCGTTCTTTTTCGTCACACTATATATGGTGCACATTCTAAATTCGACAGAAATTATTTCTATCTACTCTCACCGTGTTAGTCAAGTTAAGATCACCTGAACCAGTGAGTCGCCCGCACAAAAGCTTTTATTGCTTTAATGGATGCTGGCGTTATCTATATACTAACGCTTATTCACAGGTGTCAACTGAGACGCAATATCTGTTAGATATACATGTATCAGCTTCTTCGCGATTGAACCCTATGCCGCCAGGTTCCATATAGTAATCTTGAAACCGAATGGCTGACAAGCATGAGCGTCCGCAGAAATTTTTCCAGGGGAAGGGGGGGGGGGGGTCAAAAGTCATTGAAGGGGGAGATAATGATTGGCTGGGTAACCGCAATTGACGTGCCCGCCAAAATTCCAGGGGGGGGTCAAGTAATCCCATTGAGACCCCCCCCCCGCGGACGCCCATGCTGACAAGGTATCGTCACCAACGACTACATTGATGCCGTACCAGTCTTTAAAAAACAGTAGGATCTTCCTCCATTCAGCCACGATGCTGGCGTTCGTGTTTCGACTAAAATACCGGTGTGTTTTGTACCATTGCTCGCTGGCAAATTCTTCGCTTCCACCGCGAATCACACTGCCGTGGCTAACCATAGTGTAGACAGCCCACATGGCTTTTCTCTCGGCTCCACTATTACCGATGCGTAGTAACACACGTAGCAAAAGAGATCGAATTCCTTAAACAAAGGAACGGAGTAACCCTAATGCAAGAGATATATGCAGGGTATATTTTTGCAAAGTTATGTTAAAACTTTCAGTTTCAAGACCCAGACACTTGTTTAAGCCTAGGTCCCAACCGAACGTACGGGCTGCTACGTGTGGTCTACGGCCAAAAAAAAAGGGGAAAACGTGGGAGTTCGTGCGTGAGGAGAACGTCCATCGTGCGACTTTTGGAGGACGCAAACAGCATGTAGAAACTTTTCGATATGATCAACAGCCGCTACGTGCGATCTAGCTACGTCCTAGCCGGATGCAAGGAACTTAAAACCGTGCGTCCAAAACGTAGTAGGGACCAAGGCTTTACCTGACGTATTTACTGTTGACTCACCATGTTCCAGTTTTCGGTAACTATTATGTGGCGGATGTGTCTCTGGGGATCTTTTTGGCACATCTCTCCCATCTAGTGAACGACAACTACTAACCGTGTTGTGCAATATTCAAATAGAATACAGTTAGTTTTGAGGTTAATGGTACCATTATTTTGTCGCAATTTTCATGTTTCTGTCTAGATAGAATCACTTTGAGTAACATTGAATGGGAAATGAAATGACAATATTTTTAAGATATGCACTGTAACTGAATGGTTCAAAGCTGCCACTGATGTGGCATGAACACTGTCGAATTCTAAACAACCAGTTAAACAGCAACAAACTAACAATTAACTCTAAGAGAAAAGATATGTATTGTACTTGACTTCTCAAATCAGGATATTTTTAGTACTGCAGAGAAAGAGAGTGTTTCAGATGTTACTGTACATAACCCAGGCTTAACTGCTACAATAAGTTTAGGATATAGTGTCGTAACAAATCCCAGATTTCACACAAGGACCTTCATGTGACGGAACCTAAGAATGCCATGAAAGATAGTTTAACCCCAACACAAAAGGCTTATAACAAACGATTGAATTGGATTCTTAACGCTGTATTCAAATATATAATATTTTTAAATAAATTTAATTCCTACATTTATCGTCTTACTTGTCTCGTAGTTGATGAGGTTCCCTTTGCCTAAGCATGGGGAATGAACAGAGGGCAGGCTCTCTCTCTCTCTCTCTCTCATTGACAAACACAACCAGTGTTTTCCTTCAACAGATTTTTGTCCTTGCCATATTTCCCTTGCCCAATCTTAACAATTAATCCTATTTGCTTAAATTAAAACCTTAAAGCCAAGCAAAAAATAAAAATGTTTGTATATGTTTACATTACCCCGAAAACAAAACTTTTGAATTGACGCAAAGCTGATCTATGGCAAACGATAATCTAAACTGTCACAGGAAAAGGTGATCACCATTCGACCATTATTCACAGTCTCGTTTGGACGCATGCATTGAGAAAAGATTCCGCGCCCTACGCCTTCACCCAACTTGGGTTTCGTCAGACTGATGACGTGGTGGTTGACGACAGCGTACGTCCCTTGTGTGACGTCATACCAGGTCAGATTAGTATGTTGACCCAAGGGGATGGGAAAAACAAGAGTTGGAACACGATCTTCTGCATGTAGTTTAATTTCGCGATTGAACCCTATGCCGCCAGGTTCCATATAGTAATCTTGAAACCGAATGGCGCTTTTTGCCGGAACGACCATGCCCTGATTTCGACCCTTTGTTACAGTGAACTCATTCTCGGTCTCAGCTAGCCATCCATTACCGTAAACCCTGGAACCATAAAAACGAACTTCTGTGTCACGCGACTCCGAATAAAGTTCATAATTAGCATATTCTGGAAGGACCGAGGGTCTAAAAATAATGTTGACCGCAGAAGTCTCGAGAAACAGAGCAGTTGGATCAACCCCTGACAAGGTATCGTTGGCAACGTCCACGTCGATTCCATACCATTCCTTCAAAAACTGTAGGAACTTCCTCCCTTCAGTTGCAATGCTGGCGTTCGTGTTTCGACCAAAATATCGGTGTGTTTTGTACCACTGCTCGCTGGCAAAATCTTCGCTTCCACCGCGAATCACACTGCCGTGGCTAACCATGGTGTAGACAGCGCACATGGCTTTTTCTCTCGGCTCCACCATTACCGATGCGTAGTAACACATGTAGCAAAAGAGATTGAATTCCTTAAACAAAGGAACGGAGTAATCTTAATGCAAAGAGATACATGCAGAGTAAATTTTTGCAAAATTATGTTAAAATTTTCAGTTACAAGACCCAGACACTTGTTTACTTGACGTTTTTACTGTTGACTCACCATGTTCCAGTTTTCGGTAACTGTTACGAAGATGATGCGTCTATTTTTGGCACACCTCTTTAGCAGACTAGTGAACGACAACTACTAACTGTGTTGTGCAATATTCAAATAGAAGTTAGTTTTAAGGTTAATGGTACCATTATTTTGTCGCAATTTTCATGTTTCTGTCTAAAGTGGAATCACTTTAAAGGGATAATAACTCTTCATTTTGGCCAAAAATGAATTTTCCTGGAGTAAACAACAATTTTCCCATATTTACCAATGGCTAATGAATCCATTTTTACATTCAAAGCTAGTCCCTGTTTTTTTTCTAAAAAGTTTGGTTTTTTGTTATAATCTCTTAAGAGATTTAATCAGAGTATAGCCATCAGTGGAGGTCACGTGGTCTAAAGACAAGCTCAGATATCAGAATAATAGCTATAACTGCCGTTTTTGTGGTAAAATAGAATATATTATATTTCTATGAGTTGTTCACAATGTTTTTATCGTGAAATATAAATATCATACGAAGAGTTATTATCCCTTTAAGTAACATTGAATGGGAAATGAAATGACAATGTTTTTAAGAAATGCATTGTAACTGAATGGTTCAAAGCTGCCACTGATGTGGCATGAACACTGTCGAATTCTAAACAACCAGTTAAACTGCAACAAACTAACAATTAACTCTAAGAAGAGAAAAGATATGTATTGTACTTGACTTCTCAAATCAGGATATTTTTGAGTACTGCAGAAAAAAGAGAGAGTGTTTCAGATGTTATTGTACATAATCCAGGCTTAACTACTATAATAAGTTTAGGATACAGTGTCGTTACAAATCCCAGATTTCACACAAGGACCTTCATGTGACGGAACCTAGGAATGCCATGAAGGATAGTTTAACCCCAACACAAAAGGCTTAAGATTATGATATAAAATACATCAAACTTTAAGCTTGGTACATGCATCTGTCCTAGATCGCATTCACAATGAGTTGAGCCAGGCTTTACAAATCCTGGGGACTAAATATNCCAGGATTTGTAAAGCCTGGCTCAACTCGTTGTGAATGCGATCCTAGACTCCTAGGATATTGTGAAATCAATGGGGTAAGTATGGGCTATTTGTTGACGACTCTTTCATGTTACGACTTTTTTCTGCTATTTTTTAGTAATTGCTTTAACACTTTCTATCTGTAACTTGCAGGTAATGCTGGTTTCGGGTATATAAGACTGGTTCTAGTAGGTTGTTTCAAGGCATAGAGAACTCCACTCAAAACCTCACATTCCGAGTTTTGGTTGTGAGATAACTTACAGGGGCGGATTTAGGGCGTCTTCCGGGTCTTCCGGAAGACGGTCAGATTTTCAAGTTTACATTGGCGGGTATCTAATTTTTTCTGTCCGAAGACGGTCAAAAATGAAGAACGGATCAACAGAGATAATTTGGAAGACTGTCAGGAAATAACTCTGAATCCGCCCCTGACTTACACAAGTCTTCTCTGGAAAGTCATCTTTTTGGGTTTGAAATTGTCTATCTCTAAAGGTATGGGTTGTAGAGTTAATTAATGTGGATGCAAAAAGCATATAATCATCATTTCTAAGTATGCATGTTAATGCATCATCTCAAACCCTGAAAATTTGCATAGCATATTAGTACCAAAGTTTCTTTTCTTTACACCTTTTCTAGCAAAGGTGCAGAGAGACTCAGGACCTTATGAGCTCTTGTAAAACAGTTCCTTCTGTTAATATTGATTCAGTTATACTTTTATGACACTATTTGTTTAAAGACACTTGGGTGTCTTCTGCTATCACAACGTTGCAGTCCTTGTCAGCAGCTATCCCATCATCCCGTCTATCATTCCCATCATCCTCTCTGTCATCCTCCAGCCCACAAAGTAGGTTGTCTTTTCAAAAGTTGGGAAGAAATACCTGAGTCGTAAAAACATTTTGAAATTAAAATCAGTAAATAAATATACTATGTGTATGTAGGTATAGCTTGATAAATGTAGTTTAGCCAAACTAATACGTAATAATATATGTTGATAAAATAAAAATATGAACAAATACCTGATATGCTTGATATCTGATACCAGTGACTTGATATAAAATTTGAAACTGCTTTCATATTTATATACATTGAGAACTTTTCATCAAAATGTTTATATAATATAACAGAACTTGAGATTATGGATGCTTCCACACTTACTCAGGCTGGTCCCAGTCTGAGGATTCTGGGAACTGAGTCACATGACCAGAGTGTGTGTAATGTCCAATCAGATCTTCTCTAGCTTCAAACTTTTCACTGCAGAGAATGCAGCAGTTCTGGTGCATCTAAGCAAAACAAACAAGAACTGGGATAGGTCACATTGTATTCCGTACTATTCAAAGTCCAAGAAAGTATTCAAATCGAGTCTTCAATTGTGGAACAACAAATTATAGCTTTGTGTAAAGTTATGAAACAATTAACACTTCTACAGTGTATTTTGTAAAATGCAATTTACCTGTCTCCTGATGTAGTTAATCAATTTGACCTGTTGATAAAAGTTCAACCTTTTTGCTTGCCTGACAGTTTTTAGGTCAAACCTATGAACCACCTTAAAATACAAAAAAAGTCTTCCTCCAATAGATTTACATATTCAAAGTAGAGGAAGCATAATTTTGGCATCACATTGTTTAGGTTCATCTCTTTTTATCAATTAAAAAATAATATCTGCGTTCAGTGGTACTGAAGACAATTTAAAAGTAAGTGCACTGCACTGTCTCCCTGTACTGTACCTTCATGTGTTCTAGGAGGCGGTCCATGTCAGTATCACCATGACAACAGAACAGACAGACAGCTCTGGCCCCAGTGTCATCGGTCCAGCTTGTCCACTCTCTGAAATGTAGACAACAAGCAGAAATGAAAAAGTCTGAAAATATGGCATGCCCCCCCCTCTCCATTTTTAATGCAGGTCTGCATGGATCTGAAAAATGACTTTTTGGGGTTCCATAGGTTCCAAAAAGTCTTAAAACTGCCAATACCCTGAAAAATGTCATCCCTGCCCCCCTCCCCCCACCTATACATCCTTCCACAATTACTTTAGACCGTAATAAATCATAGACTGAAAACTGAAAGTATATGAAACTTTAAATTTAGCTTAGCACACTCACTCTTCATTGTCGGTTTCATCATCTTCTATGGCAACATCATGTTCTGACTGTATGTTCTCCCAATTTTTACCAAGTTCCTGAAATCGGAAATCATACATATCCTGCATTTCATATTTAGGTACAGTAAGTGACTTGATATGACATATTAATGGTGAGTCATCTGCTAAGTCTGAGGATTGTCTAGCAGAGTATGAGACTGGTCTGATGACTGACTAGTAGCTTTGACACTTGTCTAAGACTGACCAGTAAATCTACCATCAAACAAGAGAGAGAGAGAGTGAAGGAGAGAGGAGGGGAGAGAGAGAGAGAGAGAGAGAGAGAGAGAGAGAGAGGGGGGGCATGAAGGGGAGAGGAGGGGGGGGAGAGGGAAAAAGAAAGGGAAAGATCAATTTTTGACATATCCTCATCAATTTTTCTCTCTGAATCTTCTGTCTCAGCTGTTTATCTTCTGGCAGCAAATCGCATAGTAGGTAGTATGATACCTTGGGACCTTTTAATATAAAAAATATCATTCAATCAGTGATAAATATTCATATAGGTTATCACCCATGGCAAATCATTTGAAAGCCAGTTATATATAAGTCACACTGAGAATTGTAAATGCAGAAGAAAAATCCAGAATAAACAATGCTTTACAGGATAAAGGTCAAAATATATCTTTCTAGCCTTGGAGGTAAGAAAAAAAAGAATACATTACCAATATCGGTCTCCTTTGTATTTGTGTTGATAACACTACAAAAGTCTTCCAAAGGCTGTTCCTTGAACCTCTCTCTCCAATACTCTGCATATCTGAGTTATAATTACATCAATCAAATGTCAAAATATACAATATTTGATATCCAATTCATATGAATAGAGTATTATATATGATATTTATTTTTTTTACTATGGGGAATCTTAAACATAAAAAACTTAATTGCCATCCATAGAAAATACTCAGACACTAAATAGAGGTTGACATTTGTTTGGAAATATACGTATACACAACTAAAACAAGGCAGAAAAGCTGTCAAATGTACAGACAAAAAAACAGGAAATAACTATGCACAAAATAGGCTACTGTCAATTCTGATGCAAAAGTACATTATGTTAAACTGCAAATTCAACATCAAGTTTTAATTATGCTCAACAGGTAATACCAATGTAAGTAAAATGTGTAACAAGCATAAGGCTTCAGGCCCATGGGAGTTCAAGTTCACACTTTGAAAATGTATAACTTCAAGAAAAAGAAGCCAATTTGACTGCTTTTCCACCTCAGGCTGCATTTTAGTCCCGTATTACTTCTTTGAAAGTTTGGCAATCATAAGTAACATGGTTTTCCCATAATGGTCATCATGGCAGCAGCACCCAAAATTGTGTTTTCTTCTATTCTGATGCAATATTACATAATGGTTAACAGCATAATGACCGTCAATTTTTAATAATAAAATAAACGTATCATGGATTTTCAGAAAATGTGTCTAGCATGGGTCTTCAAGCCCGTGGAACTTCAAAGTCACACCTTGAAAATGCCAATATGTGAAAAATTAAATTTCCNGTTCTGAAATGTTTTTTTCCCATTTTTAACAATTTTCAACAAAAAACAAAATTAACAGTTTACTGCAATTTTTATATGATCAACTAAGAAAATTGATGAGATGGGAAAAATATCAATAGAGCAGTGTTAAATGTCCATTTTCTTCCATTCTGAGATTCAGAACATAGTGAATGATTGAATCTGACAAACTGCAATGATATGAGTTTATTTCCATTTTTGAAACTTTATTACACAATACACGATAACAAGTTTGCCATCATTTTTACAACTAACAATGTTGTAAAGATGCAGGAAATGTCAAATAAACACTTTTACGTATCTTATTAATTAAATAATGAAATCGTTAACATGCCTCAGAATTGAATCTGAGGAAATGTGAAAAAACAGCATAACTTCTAAAATAATGGCCCGATTATGCTGACTTTTGAACTCAACCTGCGTTTTAGCAGGATTGTCCACTCCTGTGAGTTTAATGACAATTGGCTCATCTGTTTTTCTTATATTGTGTTTACAGTGTTGCATATATGTTGAAAAGTGAAAAAAAAAGCATAACTACTAAAATGGTAGCCCGATCATGCCGATTTTCGAACTTGATCTGCGTTTTAGTAAGATCGATTACTCCTGTGAGTTTCATGACAACAGGCCTATCGGTTTTCCTTGAAATGTGTTTACAGTGTTGCATATATGCTGAAAAGTGAAAAAACTGAACCTTAACAGCGTACGATTTTATATTTCTTGATCTGCTCATTCAGTTGTGCTATTTTATTCCTTGCTAATCACCCCCCAACTCGACTTTAAGTTCGGCACCAAAAGTAAGCTATTTTTTCATTTTCTTTTAAACTATATTTTTGGTACCTCTAGTACAATTTATTTAAACCTGAACACCTGAAAATATTTTTTTTGAAATGAGCCATTTGGCCACCTTAAAGAGGGGCAATAGACTGTAGACATTTGCCCAGACGCTGACATTAAACATTTTAACTGGGACGTATTTTACCTCGGTGGAGGCAGCGTCTTTATACAACCAGTATAATTTAGCTTCATTATCTTTTCTGACAAACTTTTAACAGTTTTTGGCAGGTAAATACAACGTGAAGTCGCTGTTACCATGCCTGTATGCCCGTATCTTTGGTTATACACAAAACATAAAGACATTAAAAAACAATGCATGATGCATTACGCAACCATTAGCACTCAGCGCCTGTGTCGTATTGATTTGTGTAAGGGGGGGAGGGGAGAGGCTCATATTATTTTGTCCAATATTTTTATTAGGCCGTGATAGGTCAGTTTACAGTCAAATTATATTTTAATGTTTTTATGGGGTTATCCAATCAAATAAGAAGAATGGTAGTACTTAACTCCCTTAACCAACTCAATGTAGAAGCAATTAAGCAAAATAATTTATTCATTTTGAAAGCACATCAGTAAACATATAACAAATTAAGTCACGTTGTCCAGAGAACATTGATTTCATCATAGATATAAGATGGGATGACTAGCTTTGTCACTTTCACATATAAATCATATCGTTTTAGAATGATAATTTGAACAGACATAGTTTAAGGTCAAACGATGCCAAAACAACCTTGACCCAATGAATAAATAAATAGTTTCTTTCGAGATAAAAAAAACCTTCATCCGGTCTAGTATTTTACTGAGATGACAAAACAAATCTTGAGTTATAAAGTTTACATGTTAATAAATCATATACAGATTTATGGTGGGGAAAATATAAAAAATTTGAAATAAAATCCAAGAGCAGCATATAGTTTTGGAAGGGCCTGTCTTGGCTAACATAACAGCGCCACCTCACGTCGTACACTGCATGTCAGTATGCTTCAAAAGACCGCCGACTGAAAGTAAAACAAACACAATTACCTTAAAAAACCGTTAACGATATTAGGGTATATCTGTGTAACCATCTCGCAAGCAACTTATACACTGGGCACGTTACACTGACTTCTTGTGCTTATAGAGTCATAAAGATAAGTTGATGTAAGCCTTATAAAAAGCATGTACAGAGAAGAGCAACTCTCTCTCTCTCAAGTCACCGCTGCTTGTGTCACGCACCTGCTGCCGTTGGGAGTGACGCTGTAGCCGTCCTTTTCTATGTCCATCAAAACTATACTCTGTACAGTGGGCTGTCTCTCTATGGTTTTGATTGTCGTCCCGTTATTGTAGCGCCTAAAACGAGATATATCTGAAATCAGTACGCTAGAACTAAAGCAATCTCTATGACACCATAGGTTAGGTTTTTACTCCAGAACAAACAAGTTAAAACGTTTTTGAAATAAACTACAATACACTCCAGTATTCGCGCCCTTGATATTCAACTCCCTTTTAAAAACAGTTACATTTCAACACTAAAATATTCACCCACCATATATGTTCACGATCGAAATAAGATCTGTTAACAAAAAATAATAAGGATAATAGATAAAAAAGGGATCTGAGTTTATACAAAAGAGATCAGAAGTCCCTGCTAACTCACCTCCAGTAGCAGCATAGAATGAGAAGCGCCATCACCATGAGAATTATCAGTAACACTGAGAATATGCCAACTGTAAGGATGAAGACCCACTCGTCTACCAAAACACCTGGAAAATGTTTGAAAAATTAAAAAAAAAAAGCTGCTTCTAAATATATTATCATATAATAACATAATTAAATCCGAAACTTAAGTAAGAAAAGGTTCTAAAATGAAAATGAGAAAAAAAGAAAAGAAAAGTATTTAAAACGATATTGTTGCTGCTAAATCTGGCTCATAGGCTCATTCCCAATGGAACAATCGTTCTACTTAGATCGATCCAACTCCGCAGGGACTCTCGCTGAATGCAATCAGATTACCAGGCTAACACGACAGCACGTTGGAAACAAGAGGAAGCGTGTTTTAAAATTTGTACAACTGATTGCATTCAGCCAGAGTTTTCGCAGAGTTGGATCGATCCACGTAGAACGACAGTTTTATTGGGAATGAGCTCATAGTCAGTAGAACACACGTACCACTGACGAGTTCATAGTAGTTCTTCACAGTGGTGGTGGTGGGGACGGCGGTCGTTGTCGTCTCACACGTGGGAGGCGAGCCCCGCCATTGGTTAGTGTTACCCACACAAAGCATAGAGGGCACACCACTCATGATAGCGTCTGACGTACAGTAATACGTCACAATGTCGCCGCCGTTATAAGGACCAGTTGTCACAATGATGGCGTTGGTGACATTTTCGGGGTCGGGGCAGGCGGCGTCTGAAATACAGAAATAATAAAACAAAATGTTGGATTTTTCGAGCTGTTTATAATATAATATACAATATAATAATACAATATAATATTTGCTATGAGAAAAAACGTAAGCATGTATTGCAGTGTTAAAAACTTTAGATGTACACGTATTAACTCAATGTTGTTAAAATTGGAAAAAGATCGTGAGAGTTAACATTCATTGAAAAGGCGGAGGTATAAAAAAGGAGGGAGAGGACCAAAATATTGTAGGAGTAGGATTAAAGAACCCCCTGTCCATGTACGTTAAGTACAGATTGTTTTAGCATAAATAGTTTTCTACCAGCGTCTGATCTTGCGACACCAGTTAAAACTTACCTGTGACGTGCCACCCAAGTGCGCAAGCGCAAAGGACACAGGCACATAGCCATGTAGTCATTTTTGTAGCTGTAAAAGGAAAATATCACAAAAATGAAATGAAAGAAAATTTCAATCATAAATCACTACATGAAGGATATGTAGTATCCGACTTAAAAAACAGCTCTTGTCAAAATCCGTGGCTACCAATTTCAAATTCAAGATTAGCAGTGTCTATGTTTGTCCTGTTAATCAAAAAATTAGGAAAATACCTGAAAGGAAGTGAATTCACATTCTAAAACCTATCAAAGATTCGCATTTTTACAAGCTGCATTTGGAAGCTTGAAAATACATCTATTACATTATCTAATAGAGAGAGACCACTTGCCACAAAGTTCCTGACTTTTATTACTATCTTCCTATGAACAATTTCACTTCACGGGCGTGTTATTGGGTCTTTGACTGATCTGATATTTCAAGCAGACCCCTCTTCTGTTTTGACTAAAACATCGCCTGTCGGATTACAGATTTCATTGAAAAAAAAAAAACGGAGAGCAAGGGAGAAAGAAAGGAATAGACAGAATAAATCATTTGGATTCAACCTTTTTCTTTTATTGGATAAAACGTAGAAATTAGAAATACCTTTAGACATACCAAGTCTCAAAATATTCACTCTACTTACCGGGTTTGTATTCAGAAGACCACCATCTTGTTTCTCGTCGGCCAGCAGGAGTAGACAGGTAAGGTACCAGTCAACTACAGCATACAGTATGTTTGATTTACTTAGCCTCTTCAGGGGTCAGAGGTCACCGGCAAACAAATGACAACACACTCCACGTGAATAGAAATGTTTATAGAAACGAGTACACACACCTGATACCCTAGGCTCTATCATGCGCTCAATTTGGTTTCGGCAACAGTTCTGTGTATTCACCAGGCATAAAAAATCGCAACGCTTTATTTGTTAAACTAATCTGTTTTCTACGGGGAACAATGGAGTTGGAAATTTGAAACCAACGTATGAAAAATGTTTATGGACTTAAACCGGGGACATGGCCATGGTAGGGTCAAGGCTCGATGGGTCAAATGTCACAGCAGTATGCTGTTTGTCCTTACAGAATTTAAAATTTAGAAGAAATATACCAGCCGGTATAATGGACACTTTTATAGACTCGGTGCGTTTCTTTAATTTAACGGTCGTAACCTGTAAGATTAAGACAATCTTGGGGTTACGTGACGGGCATAATGTATTGCCTCTGTCCTCTGTCAACATGCAAGGGAGTTTTGAAACTCAATTGACTTGCTTTTGGCAACTTAAGAACTTCAATGAAATCTTTAACACGAGGATAATATTAAATACGAATTGTATTTGCAGTAAGTTGTGTGCTAAAGGGCGTAGTTCATGTTAGATTTCAATATTGCGGATTCCGGTGTCAGAGCCGTCATAAGACCTCTTATTCCAGTCTCTCTCCTTCGTAATCCCTCTCGAGACTCTTCTCAGATCTACTATTTATCAAAAATCACGCACACACCAATCTAACCTTTGTTCAAAGGCCATCACAATGTTATTGCAAATTGTAGGATAAAGTGGTCCTAATTTTTGGATAAATATTCCGTGATTATTTGAACAAATTGACATTGATGACGCTTTAAATGAGTAAACGGCTTTTAATCTTCGTCGTCAAAACTTTGTAAAGGTGATCAAATAACTTCTGTAAATTTACCAATAATAGTTGTGCAATAGTTGTATTTGCAGAGGGATAGCATTACAACACCACAGCCGTTTGAAAAGTAAAGCCTATCTCAGCGTTTAAATATTGAGGCATTAAGTACAATGCATTTCAAATTTGATAGCATTTTAATGTGGATTTTAATACGGACGTTATTAGAGTTCTGGGACCATTCTCAGCCCCTATCGAACTAACTGTGGATCGATCTATTTCCAAGGGGATTCTCGCTAAATTGCAATCAAGTTAAGGGCTTACATGTCTGACACGCCTATAGAAGCTGTTAGGGGGAAATTAACAATCGTTTAGCACCTTTAGTAGGCGTGCCAGACATCTTAAGTTGAAAGCAATTTAGCGAGAAACCCCTTGGAGATGGACCGATCCTGTTAGATCGATCTAGGTATGGGAACCCATTCTAAGGTTTTACATCGACATGGTTGAACTTTTGGCATTTTTATCAGCCCATAAACCCGGTACATTACTCCAGAAGAAGGAACGTCGTAGCTTTTTGTCAAAACGATTTGCGTTGTTCAGCTTTAGCAACGCTTGCAATACATTGAAAAAGTCTACGAAGACAATGGAGCTTGCATGTTTCTTTAAATTCTGTATTATCAAATCGAAATCAACTTACAGTTACAGGTTTAACCTTTGATCACTCAAATAATCTATCACGCAGCATCGTACGCCAGCAATCAGCGCTTCATTACATCAATGCACTGTTAAAGTTGCAGTGATTTTAAGAAACTTTTGAATTTTGACATGTTCAATAAAGCCTCGCCGAAAACTGATACCATTTGAATAAAGTTATTTGTGTTGTAATTTTACATACAGCGTTACTGAATACAACGCTTTAATGTAACTCTTTTCAGCCTAAGGATGAAGTTACAAGGCCACAGGGGGATAACGTTAAATTTTAAAGACATAATGGCTACTGGATTATTAAAGAGGTGGTTTTACATTCGTCTTGGCTGAGGCCCTGCACGGTGATGTGGGGATTTTATAAGGGCTATGTACGTAGTTCAATAAAAAGAAATGAAACCGTAAATTGTGTAGGAAAATATAATCCATTTATTCACAATAAGGCAAAAAAGCACCAACATTGCAACAAACAGGCTAGACAGAATCGGCTTAAGATTAACACGCGTGTCTGAGCATAATCAAAAATTTGGAAATAATTATAAAATTGTTCACCTTCTATTACCAGCAATGTGAAATTTCTTACAATACCCATAGTAAATGAAGGAATTCATATGAAAGTGAACACAATGAAACAATGGCATTTGGAGCCAATTAGTGTCGATTGTCATGCATGCATTTCTACAAGAATATAAGGCGTTCTATCATGCAAATTAAATAAATTCAAAAAGACGAGACAGGCAAATAAAGGCAAATAAGAAACACCACAATTGTGGCAGCATGCATAGAATATAGGCCAATGTCACTGAAGTAGCATGAAGTTATATCACGCCCTTCTTCCGTAGACATGTGCATTTTCATTGTTTCTTTTTGATATTAAATATATTTTAAAAAAAATTGAGCAGCGGTCATTTCGTACTTTGGTTTTCATATCTCACGTTATGTGAATGCGGCAGCCATTTATTTTCTAACTTTTTAGCCGGTTGTTTGTATTTCACCGCCAGTTGTGTGTTTCTTCCTAACGCCTCGGCTATGGTGGCTTTGGTGCCCACCATCTCAGCTATTTTCCTAAACTTATTTTCACCAGAATCCGTCGACGTTCTAGGACTGGTAGCATCCGACTCAAGCGTTGTATTGTTTTTCTTAACGTCGGTCATTGTGGAGATATCCTTCGTCTCTGTAAAACGCCGGAAATGATAGTGTTTTTGCCAGTGCGCGCTGCACGTGCAAGGTAGGCGTCCATTCTTGGGAAGAAAATCGTCTGTCACCACTGTAATCCAGCCTCCGTCTTCAGTGGCAAGCGTCGTATTTCCCTTCATGTATTGCGTACTTTCAGGCCCGGACGAATGATAACTCTTAACGTATAGCACCTGCAATAAATAAATATGACAAATATTTCTTCCATTCAAGCAGAAATTTAATTCGATAATTTGTTTTCATAATTTCTAAAAGGACCACTTGTGAATGAAAACGTAAACAATCAAATTAAAAGAATGGCTTTTTTTATACAACATTAATAATAATTGACATTGAGATATGGAGATTGGCCACTCTCCTGTTGTACCGTGCATTAGTTGTACGTCCTTACCCCATCGTTTGAATATAGATCCCCGGCAAAATGGACCTTTTCCTCGCGTGGCGTCACAATGGTCGGTAGTGGGGACGACCTGACTTGGTTTTCTCCATGCGACCGCCTGAAATGATAAAATAAGTAATTTAAAAAAGCGGATTTAAAGGGCTTAAATTAAAAGATGCATTTTACTCTTTAAAACAGTAAAAAGACTGAAATGATCATTGGTTAATGCCTTGCTTTTATCATATTCGTTTATCAAAAAACATATGGCATAGAAATCGAAAATTCAAATAAAGCCTAAACTTATATTGGAACCAAAGAATGCGATGAAAGGGAAGTAGTTGATGAAAAATTCTTCACTCTTCCTACTTTAATTTGTAATTAATAAGGCTTCAAATTTTACTTCATCCCTTCTCTTGCTTTATCATAGCATATGTACCTATGTTTTAGAATTCAGAGCACTATTTTAAATTCGACTTACCGTTTAAATACACAATACAGACACGACACAATGACGATAAATATAAGACAAAGCAGTATGAGGCAAGCTGCGACTAGAAATACCCAATACGGGACAACTGAAACGACAAGATTAGAAGAAAAGATTAAAACAATCAAGTAAGATAAACTATTTTCTAATTTCTAATTTAGAAACCCATTGCAAACTGCGCTTCTATTGCATTAATGTAAGTAATGCCACTCGAAATTTCATTTTGATAGGCCTAAACCGCATTTAAATGTTCATAACCAGAAATTAGGGAGATTTCATTTTTTAAAAATAAGTGAATAAAAATCGACTCAACGTCCATATTAAATGCATCGAAGCCAAAGTCGAAGACAGTTGACCAGAAACGTACTGTTGGTGACGGTTTCCGTCGGTTCAGATGGCTGGGTACAGTTAGGGGGTAGCCCCTCCCACTCCAGGGAGGAGTTACAGAGCTGTGACGGTGTACCAGACATCCTAAACCCAGTCATACAGCCATACATCACCGTAGTACCATTCACGTAAGGTCCTGTGGTGATGATAAAGCCATTGGAGATACCCAGGGGGGTGGAACATGTCGCTGAAATAATAATAATAATAATAATACATACATAGATACATACATAGATACATACATACATACATTTGCCTCAGTGCTACTTACCTTAATCATAATTATGAATAAAAATAATTCACATTTTACCTTTATTTCAAAATTTTACAATTAGTTTCAGCGTTCAGGGGATTTTTAACACCGAAGCAGTGGAGCTGAGAGAGGATTGGATGAAACTGTAGCAATATAGTTCTAATAATAGTTAATTATAGTATAATATAATAGTATGATAGATTGGTTTTTGTTTCGGTTACACGTACAATAGGAATACATAAATAGAGTGAAAAGAAAGAAAGAAAAGTGAGAAATATATATGATGAAAAACTTCGCTCACACACTTAAGTACGCACGTCCCGAAAATGTATATGTATAAACGTTATGGTCACAGAAAATGGAGCAAGTTGAATTTTCGTAAGTTGAAATTAATGTTTAAATAAACCGATTTGGCTTATAGATTTAATATAATCAATTATGTAAACGAAAAAAAGCAATACATAGAATTAATGATAAACAGATTAAACCGACAAAAAGATAAATAAATAGACAAAAAATTGAATGAATAAAGAAAGATCCTTAATTGTTTCTCACATTTCACGTGTGGAATGAAATTGTACCTGAGAAGTGACATGAAGAGCTCGTAGCTTAGCCAATCCCTTTATATCGCTTTTATTTAATAAAGAGATACAGGGAAGCTTATGAAAATAAGTGCGTCAGCGTCTGTGCAGGTCTTTGTATGGCCTGGTCTTAATGCCCGATTACGTGAGGTACTTCTGCTTCTTTGATCTTCAAGTTTGTCTTTGACTTTTTAAAAATAATTGCACTTTAAACACTTGGCATTTGTTTTCTTAAGTATATAGTTACGATGACGCGGTGACGTGTATTAGTTTGAACCGTCATTAAGGACCATTTAATTGCCATCTTAAGGCCAAACCAAGTTAACTCAACTTAATCTTTATATCATTTTATTTTAAATTTTCAATTGTCAGTTGTATTTGATGTACGGGTTGGTGGGTGGAACGGATTTGTCAACACAAACAGAGATAACCTTAGGAGTTAAAACGCGGCAACATTTTTTCAGGTATTTCAAAGTAACGCTACAATGACGTTGCAGACGTCAGTCACGTGCACTCAAGGGTTAAGGCGCCTCCGTCAATCAACACACGAGATCAAGACCAATACATCAAGCAGGATGAGTATCCGATTACCTAAAAAAAAAAAAAAAAAAAAAAAAACGCTTCGCGTGCGTCTTAATATTAAAAAGCTTTCGTCAAACCTAGACTATGACAGTGTAACTTTGACCCGAATATCACCAAGACTTCATAAGAATGAATTTTTTTTGTCGAAATGACGAGGTCAATATTTTATAAAGGCAGCCTGTCACGGTATATATAGGGTTCATAATGATTAATCTAGGCTGCGTTTACAACGATAATATTTGTGACACGCGAGACAGGAAGGGTAAAATCGCTATGAAAACGAAACAAACCGTTTCAAATCCACTCAAAACCAGCAGAGCTTTGTGTTGCACGACAAAAACTCTTCAAAATGTTTTTTTTATAATTCGTGTCTCTCAAAACAAACCGTCACTGCACGGTTTGTACGTGTTTACTCTGAAGGCCGTATTAGTTTACAAAAGAGACCGAGGTCACACAAGACCGATTTATACCCAAAGGTTTATTATGAACCTCCCCAGGCTACGAATCAATATTATTGTCAACAACCATCCCCGGTAGACTTTACTCTGTGCTTGGTTCCACTATTACCGGTTCCTAACAAAATATTGACAACGCCACGGCAGATTACCTGAATAGAAATGATGTTTTGATAAAAAAAAAAGATGAATAGAAAAAAATTAATGCGCATCCGTAGGTATTCCTCAATAAAAAGTAATGAAGGGAATCGGGTATAAGTCTATATTTAAACGAGCTGGAAAAAGGAACAATCCTCTATTGCTGTTAAATAAAGATTTTTTGCTTACTGATTACTAAGACCTAGTTAACGACGTTGATAAAATATCTAAACATAAGGGAAACCACATATTGGCACGGTTTGAGAAAGGAATAATCCTCGATCGCTGTTAAGTAATATATCAAGATTTTTTACTGACTGATTACTAAGACTTGGATAAAATATCTACACAGCATTTGAAGAAAAGCACAAATTGGCCTATTTTCCGGAATATCCATACCCGATTTAAGATTATTGAGCTATTTAAATAATCCTGGCATTTCTCTTATATTACTTGGTAAACTTGTCATTCAATTTTGTTTGATAACTTTAAGTCGAATTTTTAGCATTCTGTGTATTGGGTTGTGACGCCATTTTATGGGGCTTTTGTGGGGTTATTACTGCTATTGGTTTTATTCTTAAATAACGAACTCTCATTTGAAGTGAAGAATCCTCAATTTCTCAGAATTAATTTAATTTTACAAGAGTCCAGCATTAAGTTTTTATTTGATTTCTTAAAATGATTTCTGTCTTTTAATCGACTCTGTAGACTATACTCCGTGCTTGCGTAAGCGTCAGAGAGAGAGAGAGAGAGAGAGAGAGGGAGCACAAAAAACTAGACATAAAGTTAGACAGCGATGAAAAAAAAAACTTACTTGTCAAAGTCACCGTGGTCAGTGAGGCCAAGATCACAAGGCCAAGACCAAGCTTGACCGTCCAATTAGTACTGTACAGTGCCATGGTTGAGATAGTGCTCCAAAACCCAAACTTAGTTCAGATATTTCGCTGTCGGTTTAACTTCACTGCTGAAAAATAGGTTGATTTTGCATTAACGGTTTAAGTTCACAAATCATGATAGCTCCTTATAAAAGGACCCTATATTGACCTGACCTGTACAGCAACACCTTGCAGTGCTTTGTGAAAATACCTTGAACAGATTAGATCTTATTACAATAGTTTTCTTACAGGTGCCCGAATTTACACCTTTAATATTTTTTCCATTTTGTGATAAACCAATTTATTAATATTCATACAAGAGAATGAATAAAAAACCCTGTAATATATAATTGTCACCTAAATACATCTGAAAATTGGTGTATGAGCTTTAAACTCTATTTTTGTTCGTATTTCGTTTATGTGTTGTTTTACCAGGAAAAGGAATCGAAAGAGACGTCAACACAAGAGGAAAGACACGGAAGACAATTTGTCTTAATTTTCATGCAGTAACCTGTCAGTGATCAAAGTGTTGCAATAATTCAGGTAGCGCTAGAGTAACGACGACATTAAAGTAATCGTAAAAGAACCTATTTTTATTTTTAATGTTAGAAAGTTTTTGTCGGGTACAGGGTGTAAGAGGGGGAGAAATAATTTGGTCAACTTATCCCTTTCACAAACAAAGCCACGTAGATTGACACAAAATATGCTGATCAAATAAATACAAGACCTTTGCAAAAATTAATTAAAAAAATGAAATTCTTGTAAGATTCTTTTTCTGTGCTTAAAAATACCTAGAACAACACTGCATTTTACTATAAGATCTGATACTTTCATAATAAAATCTTAATAATTGGCCAAGAACCAATTCTAAATGACAGAAAGTCTAAATCTACCTTTAACTTAAGCAGCTTGAAATAAACCTACCCGGTGGGGTATCAAAAGCCAAGTAGCCATTTCACTTTCCAAGACGACGCCATCCCGGTCACACTACCGCCAACACTGAAGTCACCGAGTCTTTTCTGCACCAGTTAGTCGTCAAGTGTACTTAAGCGAGAAGCACGTCCTTTGCTCACGTTTTAACCCAATAATTTGACCCCGTGCTTGGTGTGCGTGTCACACTGAAGTGGGGAATTAGTCTTCTCCAGGGCGTTCACCGGCCTAGTACAGAGAGCAGCAGTTTCTTTCACTTCGAAGCTAAAAATGCCCAAGGCGTTCACAGGGCTAATACAGAGAGCAACAGTTTCTTTCACCTCGAACCCAAAAAGTGCCCAAGGCCTTTGAGTAACCTTGTTCTCCTAACCAGACAACTGAAAATTAAATGAATAAAAACTATAGTCTATTGAAATTGTGGTGTTTACAAGCAAAGGGCGTTATTTTTTTCTCTTTTCAATTGACATAGGCCAATGAGTCCGTTGTTAATGTCCTCCAAGGAGCAAAATAATAAATAACGACAGAACAATGACAGCAGTTCCATTAAAATTACGACGTATTTCATTCACCTTTCTCACCTGTAGATACGACACACCTGAATACCTGAGTGACACCAGTCGCTTTGTGCCTGCGCCCCGTCACGTGTGTGCGTGTGTGTGTGCGCGCGTGCGTGTGTGGACGGGTGACGGTAGCGCGAGCGTGTGGTTACCCACTGGGCAACTAGAGAACACTTCATGGATCTACAATATTGCGTACAGTTTCAGTTTTCCATAAAGTCACCTGTACGTCATGTGAGTGTTATTTTACAAGAACATACCTTATTCAAGCAGGAGCTACTGCATGCACTCTACAGGCATCTTGTACATTTCTAGGAATAATTTTCATTTTTGACCAAAGTACGGATTTGTGAAAAAAATTAAAATGATGGTACGATCAAGTGACACTGTGGCTCGTAAAATGATATTGACCCTGTTAAATATATTTAAAGTATTGGTATTTGAAATAACGGTAAGCAAATCTCTTTAAAATGCACAAGCATCGGCATAATTACCTTTTATTCAGGACTTAATTTTCGCTGTGTCAGTGTTGTTAAGCAGCGTCTGGTCAGTTAATGGCACTGACCTAGCCACAATGTCATGATACCCTGCTCGCTCACAGCTCGCGCCTCTGTTGGTAAACTTGTCTTTATGACACCCCACTAAAGGTAAATAATCTTGTTTGAGTTTGTTTTGGCGACAAAGCCGTTCATTGTGGTTGAACTGCAGCCGGGGACAATAGTTAAATGTTCAGTTAACATTTATCAGGAAACTGCCTTGCCCTGAACATATCCGTTGTAATGACTTTTGAAAAGGTCAAATAAAAAATAATGAAAAATAGCATTAATGAAATCGCCACAGTAAAGACACATTTGCCGTGAAGAGAAGGACAGTGCATTGTTTAAACATTTGAAGTATTATTATTTTTTTTATGAAAGAGATACCCATGTGCTTTTGATCATATGTTACTATTTCTTAACAAACAAGTTTTGTTTCTCATTGTCGCTTAGTCGTCTGGCACAAAACGCCTTCAATAGTGTATTGTTATTGTATTGTAAACGAATTGAAAGTTAAATAGTAACAAACCCAACAAGCAAACGCTCATTTGAAAACATTATTTGGCTCTAGTAAAGTTGCTCTTCATTTTCTTTATCCTGTAAAATATTGGCAATCATTACATAAGAAAATAACCCAAACAATTTCGCAGATCTTGCTTGCCAGATATGCACTGTACGATCTGCAGCGCTAGAGTGGATTGCGCACTTCAGAGAAGACGCTGACAGTGTTTGTGTGGACATTACTACAGATAGGCCGTATATTTTAATAACATTCAAGAATATGAATAACGTGCCAAAGTGGTGACGGACGATATAAGTGATATGATGGAAGACTGTTCATCTAGTTGTCTCGAGCCAGAGATTTTGTCCCCTCGTGCGCTGGCGGTTTACACCCGCACAAAACTACAAATTTAATGATTGAAAAATTGCATTGTACGACCCAATTCTTTTAGGTGCAGCGTTGTATTCATTAGAATTATTTCACAACCAAAGAAGAAATGAAACAGATTTATCAAAACCATAAACAACGGTTGGGTCTTTTTCACATTTTTATTTCAATCAAGACAAGAACCCAATTTCTCGATAAAAAATGTAAATAAGCAGTTTATCACAGTCATATGTAAATATGAGAAAAAGTATACATACAATTATATATTGGCATATATATATAATCACTGTCTTAGAGATTAAGCGCTGCAAGAAGCCTAATAAGTGCATGGCAGTACACCAAGACAGAAAAATCGAAATCTGAAAATTGGCGTCAAGCATTTGAAAGATTTAACTTTGGAATCTTTCTCCAAAGGTTATAAAAAGATTCTGCAACATAGATGAATTACACACCCATAAGAAAACATTCTGTGGTACCTTCTAACCCACTTGCCTTACATCAAATGGGAAAATGCTTGAGATTATTAAGCCAGTTGCTGTTTTGAAAGCAGCTCAGAGTCGACTCTACCACCAGTCTACAGTCTGAGGGTCACACTGATCCCGTCAACTTTGGGCCCCAAAAAAATTTTCAAAATTCCATCAAATACAGTAAAACAGGAACAGTTACTGTACATTGTCATGTATTTGGCAAGTGTCCTATTTCTGCTATCTCCATGCTGCTCTAGACACATTATTCAGTTTTGGCTTCGTAGTAGATTTGACAGCTGTTTTTCTCTTAGGACTTCCAAGAGCAGACTGGAGATTACGTCTGGCAGACTTCTGGGCTCCTCCTCCTGCAAGGACAACATCAAACATCAGAATATGGAGATAAAGTATGATATATAAGTTAAATAATCAAACAATGAATATTTCTATCTAAGTCTGACATTAAAAACAGCATTTGGAAACAAGTTGTGGTGGTCTTAGAAAAGACAATAAGCCTACACAGGTGGGTGCAAACTCCAACTTACCTGTTACAGAAAATGCATTAATTTTTCCAGCAACTTCCTTTGGAGCAACTTTCAACCTAGAAAAAATAAAAAGAGTCATAATTGAAAAAAAAAAATTAAAAACCCATTAAACTTATAAATCTGACAGAATCTGAAAAATTGAACAAAGAGAATTGTACGTCACACACACGCACACACACACACACACACTGTATAACCATACCTATTTTCTTTATCAGACACTGGTTTGATAGGTGACAGGTTTCCATGTGTTGGTTTAAGTGCCTTAGAGAACAGAGACTGGTATTGTCTGCGGAGAGGACCACTGTAAGATATCAATACCAATTAACAGAACATTCATATCCTGGCTTTCTGTTAATCTAGGTTAAGATTTAAAACACATAAATGCTCATTGAAATATATGTCAGCAAAAGTCTAACTGAAATTACTCAAGCTCACCAAAACCGTCCAAAAAGTAAAATAGACAATATAAATTGCTTATTCTCCTGACATGCCACAATCAGAAATCCTGTTTATATATAACAGATTAAATAAAAAAACGTTGATCTAAAAAAACACATTTTTATATTTAAAAAATATTTAAAAACTCCCCCCCTATCTTTCTACCTGAGGTCAGTCCTGGCCACCTTGGGGCTACTGGTCTCTGGGGACGTCTTGGGACGCATAGAATGACCAAACACTGCAGACTCTGCTAGTCTTGAGCAGGGTTGAGGATTTTTTAAATGATAATACATTTGTGAAAGACTGGGATTGTTATGAAAGTGTCTTCCTTTTAAATTATCATACTACTATTATCATATTACATGTGCAAAAATTCACCATATATACTGACAGTCAATGAAAAAGCATAAGAAAACTTTCTTGTACTTTTTTACCACAAATCAATTCCAACCATATAAAATAGTACAAATGCACTTGTCTGGTCATAAGAGAGTCACCTTATTTGAATAATGAATAATGAATCATATTTCACACGAAAACTGTTATTTTCTTAATGTTCCAAAGGAACTTAAAATATTATTTGATAAAAAAAAAATGATGCCTTTTCATTGACTGTCAGCATACTTCACACCTTTCTTCAACGAAATCTGTACCCTTTTCATGAATTTTATTTTTCAGCACATATTTTTCTTCATGTTCTTCATGAATACAGATAATATTCTGCCCTTAATTTAAAGTTACTAAAGGATACTGTGCTTTCTTCTTTCTCTCCAGGGCTTTCTGTGTGGCCGCACTCAGTCTTTTCTTCTTCAGGTCATTCTTCTGAATTAATAAAATATTAAAATATTCTACTAAACTCTCGCCAGAATAATACAACATGTCATATCAATATTATATTTTCCATCACTTGCAATTGAAACAAGCAAATTTTACTGTCCTTAATAAAATTTAAGATTTTGAACTGAATTGTTAAACAATGAACATAACATTTGACAGGATTTCCATTACATGTTGAATTTTCAAGCCACTGAGTATTATCACAGAAACCATACAGATAGATAAAATGTTTAAGCATTATAAAGACGGCAGTATTAAGATATCCCCTGTATACTTACATTCTGTTTGGCCAGTCTCTCCTGCTCTAGCTGTCGGTCTTGTGCTATAATCTGCATCCTATCCCAGACTGGCAGCTCAAAGAATATGTCATGGATTTCCAGCAACCCGGCTCTCAACTGAAACCCATATGTGACAATCATTACTTGGAGAAAAGAAGGTTTAATGTGTAGGATAATGCTAATAGACAATTCTTAATAAATGTCTAAAATGCAAACTGTGACATTCTTTAATCAATTTCTCATTGGCCTGATAAAGTTGGATTTTTTTCTAGGAAAAAATAAATTAAAATAAAAAACAAAACAAAAGTGCAAGTATATATCTGCATTCAACAATTTAAACATTTTAAAACTCTCCTAAATACTACCCACAAAACTGCTCCCTTAACTTTAATCTTTAAGGTGAACTCAAACCCAGTATCTCTCTACCTGTGCGATTACCCTGTCCTGGAGATTCTTGTCCTGGTTCAGGTACGCCATCTTCTTAGTTGGACTCTCAGTTTGGATGCTAATGGCTAGGTCTGTGGTATCCTGGGAAACAGGGAGAAATTATTTCAAAGAAAATATGAGCAATCACTTAGATCTTTAACATAGGCCCCATTCAGATCAAGATGAGCCGAGTGCTAGCTAGGCCACGACCTAAATATGGCAGACCTTCATGAAAGGAAGACCGCTTAATCCTGTAATGGTCTCTCCTTCTCTCACACGGTTGAATTGAGCCGAGATTTAATTACTGTGCCCCTGCAGGAACTACGCGTGGGGAGGTGTGTGAGAGGAGGAGAGACCATTACAGGATTAAGTGGTCTTCCTTTCATGTAGGTCCGCCATGTTAAAGTCGCAGCCTAGCTAGCACTCGGCTCTTCTAGATCTGAGTATGATGATCTTTCAATAAAACACACATTCAGTGAGAGAAAGAAAAGCTCTCGGAAACTTCACTCCATCATTTGTTTCATCCAACAGAAAGCTGGGATGGGGATTGGTCTGTAAAACCCCAGAAGTTTTGACTGTTTGAGAGCAGCCCACGTAAACTTACCTTAATAGTCTGTATAATAGCCTGGACTTTCTCTGTCCTGTACAATCTTCTGGTAAGGTAACCCTTTACAGCTGCTGACAGCATACAAAACTTTCTCTCCATGGCCGCGGTGATAGCCTGCAACCAGAATACAGCGGTGAGTTTACCCTGGTTCATTCCTCACGTTAGAGCAACACATAATCACAGGTTAACTCTACTATTACCACCTCCAAAATATATGCTTGCCATGGCTATTCTTTTTTTACTTACATTGTATTAGTAGCCTCATAGATATTTATGAAATGTTTAAAAATGAAAACAATTACACAATTATACATTTAACTTCAGATATTTTAAATCAATAAACTGTTTTTTTTTCACATGACAACTACAACCGTGAGTATCTGGTCTTATCCTCAGTAATAGTGTGTGTACATGTGACTATGTTTGTGTAAAGGTGTATACAACCACCAGATGTCAGCACTATGTAAATGAGCCCACAAATGTCCTCATTCCCTGCCAGCCTGTCCTCCACTTACCACATTGTGTCTTTTCTCTCCCAGCCTCTGCCTAGGTGACACAACCTTCTGACTCTGCCAATTTGGGGATGCTTCCTTTGACGATGGCCCACTCTGCCGTAACTGGCCACTGGGCAGTGACTGACTGCTATAAAACTGACCACTAGGTAACTGACCACTGGGAAGCTGATGTCCAGGTCTGTTGACAACATGGACCTGGTCCAGGGCTATATCGTCACTGTCATGTCCCCCAGACCTAGTGAGGTGGTGGTCAGTTATGTGACAGCCCTGGGGAGTGGACGGATTGGACATCTGCTGGACATGTGGACTCTGTTGTTGGTTGACCTGCAAAGTGAGAAGTGATGAAACTTAAAATACTATTTATGTTTAACTTCGGCACCCAGGCATATTTTCACATATTAGAAGAAGTTATTTAAAATCTCATACTGAACTTGAGAACTTATGTCTTGTTCACTGAGAATAGTTCATCTGTATTCTGAGATGGACTACTGAAGTTAGTTTTGAAAAAAAAAATTAATAAAAAAAAACTACCAACCTGTTTCAGCCACTGCTCAGCTTTGGCCCTCTCCATCTGTCTCCCCTGTTGCTGTAGCAACTGTTGCTTAGCAACCTGGAACCTCTGTTCTTGCTCTACCAACTCCTGCTGGAGCAGCATCTGCTCCCTCTGTTGCTGGAGAAGCAGAGCCGCAAGCTGGTAAAAAATTAAACCAGTTCTTAAGACATGACAAATACGTGAAACATCAATTTCAGTTCAGTTATCGAAATCTGAATAAAAAAAGTTTAAGTTCTCCAATAGGAATGTTAGGTGTGTGACTCTTTGAAAAAGCACTCATATAAAACCATATAACCCCTTCAAAACACCTTTTCACAGAATATATAACATCAGACATAACTGGAGGATTAGACAACTCCTATATTACCTGAGACTTCTGTTGTCCCACCAGCTGCTGTCTAAGCTGTTCAAACTGTCTAGCCTGGTTCTTCAACACCTCCTCACTGCCCCCACTGAGACCTGACATAGAACTGGTGCTGAACAGGAACCCTGGGATGTCCTTGGGGGGCTGTGATACACTGGGCTGGAATATAATAATTAATATATATCAGATATATGTACCACAAGGAAGGCTTAGCTGTCCTTAGGACAGCCCAGTGAACATGTGACCTTTCTAAATAGTTTTATAATCTCCAGACCCAAGTTACCAGCTACCGCACCCTCTCTCCCATAACTTAAAAGTACAGTCTGCAGGGGCGGATCCAGATATATTTTCTGACAGTCTTCCAAATTATCTTTGTTGATCCAGCCTCCATTTTTGACCGTCTTCCGACAGAAAAAATTAGATACCCATCAATGAAAACTTGAAAATCTGACCGTCTTCTGGAAGAAGCAGAAGAGGGCTTGAATCCGCCCCTTGGCTAGTCTCCAGGGAGTGACCCAGTGGGCTAAGTACTGATCTGAGCCACACCCTCTCTCTCTCTCATAACTTACCACTACAAACTGGTCTCCAGGGAGTGACACAGTGGGCTGAGCACTGATCTGAGCCACATATTTTCTCTCTCTCTCTCTCATGACTTACCACTACAGCCTGGTCCCCTGGGAGTGATACAGTGGGCTGAGCACTGATCTGAGCCAGGTATCTCTGCAGGTGCTCTCTCTTCCCCTCGGCCTCTGAGTCCTGGACATCCTTCCTACTGGAGCTGTGTCTGTCCAGGCTGTCCCTGGGGGTGACCAGCTCTTCTTCTTCTTCATAGTTCAGTTTCCTCTGTACTGTGCTGGGCTTGCCGCGCCCTGGGGGTTCAAAACCTGCAAAGTAATTTTGATAATTTAAGTTAGATTAACGTCAGTTTCAGTTTCACTAAGGGTCACTCTATCGCACATATACTTCTCCAGTAAACTTAAGTCTAGCAGAGATAGACTAAACACTGTAGCTCATACCACCTGCATGCTAGAGTCCAGAGTGTGATTTAATTTTCCATTTCCTATTTATATAAGATTACAATTTGCTGAATCACACAAATAAAGTAACACACACTTAAAATATTTAACACCCAAGTTCCACTTACTGCTCTCAGTGCCAGCTACCCCAGTATAAGTCTTCATCTGACCATGAGCCATCAGCAGCGCAGGGGACGGGTGCTCCAGAGTGTACGAAGACTTGCGCACGTGCCCCTGACCTGGGGTAGACTTAGTCTCTAAATTAGATCCAGGGCTCATTTTTTCCTGGCTTAGATTTTTCAAACCAGCAGTGCTACCTACAGCTTCTTCCTTCAGTGTGAGAGAGCTGGCCATAGTGTCTAGTGAACCTTGCATGTATTGTCTTAGATCAGTACTGGCAGTGTTAGTGGCAGTGACAACAGAGTCAGGGTTTAAAGACTTCTCTGACAGCAACTGCTCTGGTTTACTGGCGGTAGATCCCATCGATGCTTGAGTTATGGACAGAAGAGGTTGATTTTGACTAGAAGAAGGTACTGAGGAGCTAATCACCATGGAGTTGGTCTCATATGGGATTACAGAGACATCTGGTGTCAGTAACTGCTGATCACCACTACTGGGTAGAGTAGTAGCAGTTCCGGTTGGTGCTGGGGTGGGAAGAGCACAGTATTCTCCCATATAACTCACAGCCTCACTGTCACACACACTCTCTGCTCTGGGACTGCTATTACTGTGCCACTGGTCATTTCCTCCCTTGCCATCATCTGGTCTCTGACCAACTTCATTTACTTTTTCAGGTGTTTTCTGATCTCCAGGCTTCATCACATTTGGCACTTTGTCTGCTGTTTCTACGTCTGTAGGACTGAGTACAACACGGCTTAACAAGTCACTCAGATCAGAGTTAGGCAACTGACTGTCTGTATAGTCCGAACATGGCACCACAGACCCCGTTACAAAGCCACTATCATGACCACTGCTACTACTCTGGTCTTTCACATTGTCAGAACCAACAGCACCTGTCACTTCTAAAGCACCACTGGCACTATCTAGTGTCTGGATTTTCCCACTGTGAGAGTTGTTTAGAGTAGTGTTTTCTACAGTATCACTAGCACTGTTTATTTTAGACTTCTCCTTCAACAAGGTGCTGGTTTCAATGACTGTCCTGTTGAGTTCACTGACACTGCTTCCACTGCTGGCACAGCTACCAGACACTGTGACTGGCCTGTCACTGCCAGTGCTGTCTATCACATCTGGCTGCTTATCATAAGTAGAAGACCACTGCTGTGTTGTAGGTGATGTGGTCGTACTGGTCATAGTGGTCGTGGTGGTCGTGACAACATCTTGGTTAGTTGGCTGGCCCTCTTGTTGTGGAGATGGGGTTCTTCTTGTCTAAAATTACATAAATTATCATTTAGTTGAGCAATACTGTTTAAATTAAACATAATCTATCATCAGTGTGTGTGTGTGTGTGTGTGTGTGTGTGTGTGTGTGTTGTGTGCGTGCGCATGCCTGCGTGTGTTTATCGTGACTATATGGGTAGTTGGGTGCAGTATATTTGAGCTCCAAAGCTGATGTAAAATTGAACACTTTAATTTCAACATCCTCAATATGTTAAAAAATATGCTTTGTTCTACATCAGAAACAGCATATGAAAATCACTTGATTTTCTAATAACAAAACAAGTGTTCAAAACAAGTGTTCTTTATTTAAATGAAAGCTAAACATATATATAGTTATGTAAATCCATATTCTTTACAAACCTGACATTAAAGTAAGCCCGTGTCAGATCTCTTACCTCAATCTCATCTACAATGGACTGGACTTTGGCCAGCAGTTTCTCTCTTCTTCTGTTCTTCAACCTGGTTTCTGCTATCACTGCCTGTCGCTTGTATTGCTGCATCTGCTCTCTTCTCTCATGTGTCATCTGTAAACAGTATCAGCACATATATAACAGGGGCGGATTTAGGGCGTCTTCTGGGTCTTCCGGAAGACGGTCAGATTTTCAAGTTTACATTGACGGGTATCTAATATTTTCTGTCGGAAGACGGTCAAAAATCGAGGATGGATTAACAAAGATAATTTGGAAGACTATCAGAAAACATCTCTGGATCCGCCCCTGTATAAGAGACTTCTGAGATTACCAAGACCTCAAGAGTTTTGCCCACATGTAGATGACTTAGCCTAGATTAGTGTTACAGGAGAAGTCCACTTGAAGTCTTCAGTGAAATACTGCCAATATTTTATAAGTCGAAAGCATTTATAAGATGACTAATCATTTACACATCCAGCTATTTTGTTTTAGTGGGCTAAAACATCTTTATAGAGAATTTGAGCAGACCAAATTATTTTTGGCCATAAAGTTTAGACCATTAGAGTAACATGGGCTCAGGATAAGAGGGGTGTGCCTACCACTGGAGGAAGAATGGGAGCTCCATCCATCCTTATCATTGATTTATATCCTGTATCCAACCCCATGTAGCCTGAGGGGAATAGAGCAGAGTCCATTTGGGAATTCTGGGTATCAAAAAATTCTGTGAGTTCCTCTATCATCATAAGAGTCATCTCCTAAAAAGAATTAGAAACATTACTGAAATACTATCACTCTCTCTGCTGATATTTTCAAAGCACTGGATATAATACAAACAACTGTGTTTTATCAACCCATAAAAATTATGAAACACTGCCTTGTATCCACTATGCACATTTACTACGGTTTCATTTAGTGCTAAAGTTAGTTGGCTTCAGCACCACATGCAACACACACTGTTGTATTTAACGTTACAGGTTTCTGAATTATCTTTTGGCTTTGATCGATGATGGTTGCAGTTTGACGCCAAATTTCGATTCCCCATTTCTACTGTGACCCCCAGGGTGCTACGCGTTGGGGACGTTCTGTCAGCTAATTGCAAGTAAAAATTGATTCAAGGTAGAATTACGACTGGGTGTGCAATTCTGAATCTTTGAGTACTAAGATTTCTCACCAAATCTTTTTCGCTTCCTTTGCCAGTGGCGCTGTTGCTGTTGTCCCGCGCCATTTTGAAAAATTTGCTCTTCAGAAACATTATCGTGTTATTGATTGGTTTATTTAGCTGGGCTGTCCAATAGAAAACGCGCTTGTAAGTTGTATTGGAGCTTTGCTCATGCGAGCTACAAGATCAGACGCGCGAAAACAATCGTTTGCAAAGGAGTATGTCTATGGTGAAATTCGCGCGTATTATATGGCCAGTGCTTTTGTTGCGCATTTATAAAATTAGCCGAGATTTCTTGCAAAGATAACAATACACAGACTATAAAAATGTGCACAATTTACTTTTCATTTTCAGTAATAATTTGAAGAATTATGCAATAATAGATTATAGGTACTGAGATGTAATACAGTACTGAAAACATGAATTTTTGTTACAAAATTTGTTTTCTTTCTCAAAAAACAATAAACTGACATCGAATTTCGGAAAGGATTTATTAACCATTGGCATGTATAGCAAAATTGTCATTTGCCCCAGGAAAATTCGTTTTATATGGTGCCTTTCCCGCCAAAATGTAGAGATATAGGCCTATCATCCCTTTAAGTGCCCCGGCTGTTACAAATAATAAACATATTCTTTTCAAAAGATTTCTTCATTTATTCTCAGACATATAAACATAAGATGAAGTCTTTTTGATACAACACTAGATCAGTGATTATATCTTGTTAAAAATTATTGCTAAAGAAATGTTTATCTTTCATGATCTTCACAGGTGCAGTGATGTTCACCCCATAACACAAAAGTTTATTTTTCCAGATGAAGTAATAATAAAAAAGTGGCCTAGCTAGAATCACTTTTTATAATAGACCGAGTTGGTCTCTTGCACTATGCCATTATGTATGTAACTGTTAAACCAAAGAAATATTTTCTTTGGCAGCAGCTTTTAATTTTTCTTCTTGGGTTGCCCTTTTTAAAAAGACACTAAGATTAAAATTTTAAAAATAAAGAAAAAATTACATAAAAACACAGCAAAATATTAACTTTCATCAAGCACCTAATCTCTTGAACTTAATATTAACACAATCTAAAAATCATCTGATACCTTAAGTGTTGAATATGAGAGTCATCCTCTATACATGAGATGAAGAGAAATGTTTTGTGAAGATTTTTTGGGGGGTAATTTTTATCTAATCACTTTCTTCAATTCCTCCTCTCTTTGTGATAAAACATTCTTAGTCAGGATATTATATACAAGTTATAAAAGCTCTGCTATCAAAAACTAGTCCTATTCATGTATAAGTAAATATCTAAGACTAAATAGTTTGTACAAAAACATGTTCTTGCATTTTGATGCAATCTTTACAGAATAAAACTATGTTACACCTAAAACTTCTACTTGTAAACCTTGTAGCAACTAATTCATTAACCTGGGTGTAACTTCTCATACATATTACTTAGTCATGTATGTACACTAAATAAAAACAATTTTTTAAAATAGGTACATGGATATCCTCCACATGCACTCACAGGCTATTAATGAGGGCCCTGATCTTGAATATCTTAGTTTAATTTTACATTTCACGCTTGATACACAAGCCTGCTACCACAAAAAAAAAAAAAAAATCAGCTGCTGTGATAATAATATAAATCTACAGCATCAAATTTACAAATTCATCATTATAAGGTCTCTATATATTTTGCTGTTTTCCTCTTGTATATAAGGTATATGTTTAAGACGCACATCAAGCAAAGAACTGTACATGCTTAAAATGTAAGATTCTATTTTCAGTTGCAGTATACAGATGGAAGTATACAACATGAGAATACTCAAGTTTCTTTCACAATTCGCCAGAGCTCAGTAAAGCAAGTACAAAAATTAAGTTTTTAAATGCACATGAGAGATATTAATGAGAGGTTCTTACTTCTCTTACAAAACCTACATTTGTACCTAAAGGCCTAAAATGGCTTCTTTCCATTCCAACAAAAATAGGCAGTAGCAAATGTATCTACAATTGAATTTCTATTTGCAAAAACTGTCTCTAATATACAGAATAATTTTCTTATATAAAACCCCTGTGAATATTTACAGCTTGTCTTGGTCCAACAGTCATGTGATATGGAAGTCACCTGACCAGTCTATCACATGTTCTGGTTGTCACATGACTAGTCTATCACATGACCACATTATCTGAGGAATGGCAGGAAAAAAGACTTGATGGAGTTATGTAATGGAATGGTCCCCAAGAACAGATATTTACATGGAGCAATGGCGGTTTTCTGAAACATAAAAATTATACATATATTTCTTTCTTTCAGATCACAGTTAAAACACAGTGCTAATTATGATTGGTTTTTATAAACCTTTTTTGCTTACTAATCAATAAAAGTCTGAAAAGAATACGTAACCAATGTTTTTCAAATTAAAATCAATTATAATATTAAAAGTACCAAGAGTTATGCACTGACAGCTGGCAGAATACTTTTACCTATAGTAAATTCATAGAATCAAGGATTTCTGTGTAAAAAAAAAAACATTTAAAAACCTACCTTTTATAAAATGGTTTTCAGTATCTGTGCTAGTAGAGCAGTCACCAGTAGTAAGACAGAAGCGACATGCTGACAGGAGCCGCACTTTTCTACATAAGATGCCTCAGGGATGATTTGGGTATATGTACAACCCGATTTAGCTGTAATATTGAATAAAATGTAATCAAAATAAAGATGAGATAAAAATCATCAAAGCATCAAGAATAATTATAAATAACAAAACAAAAATTGTGGGATATCAAGAATCATATCATTTTTATAGTAAAGGTTATAAAATGACTGCACACCAAATTAACTGTTAAATATTCATCTTCAACCAAAGACTACATGCACTGTTCCTATATACCATGACAAACTGGCTAACAAACATGAACCTAGTTCTTACCCATGACAAACATGACCATGGGGGAGCTCATGGCGCCCTGCCCACCTCTGCTGTAGCCATAGACACGAAGATAGTAACTCTCTCCTGCAGAGAGATCAGAGATGGTGGCAAACGTGTCTTTGCCTGCATCAAAATCTTTGGCATCGATGATCTTCTCACTTGTGCGCCAGTATTTGACCTAAAAGAAAATCAACAGAAAATAAAAATTTTAAAAGCTGATGGATTTTCAAAATTAGTTTTTCTTCAACCTACCTTGATTGGAAGAAGACTGCAACTTTCAGATGGTTCACAAAACAGTTAAAACACTGTAATTAAGTAAGGAATATGACTTGATTAAAAGAAAAAAAAAGATTTTCTCTTCAGCCCACCTTGTATCCCTGTAGCGGCTCCTCGGTTTGGTCAGTACTGATACCCCTCCAGCTGACCTTAATGGTGTGAGTGTCCACGTTGTGTAGCTCCACCTCTGTGGGGTAGTCCTTGGGGGCTGGAGAAGTCAAAGATAATATTCACATCTACTGAGTCTGGATATTTTCATCCGACAACTCTCACTTACAGCATGCATGGTGCCCCTTAGGTTTTTCAAATGATCAAACTCCTGACCTCTACTTTCATTAAGTATTTGTTAAAAAAACTGCTATTAAAAAATTAAAAAACATGGTAGAACCTGCATCTGTGGACAACTACATACTGAACTCTGCTGATAAATACCAGTGACAGGATGGAAGTTATTTGTCAACAAGGACACCAACTTTACAAATCCCTTTCACTTAAAAGAATTATATATGCACAACCCAAAGTTAGAACCATTCCAGTAATTTGAGCAAACTTACGTTGTCTCAGTGTCTTCTGTGGATAGGGCTGACTTGGTTCTCCATTTCCTGCTTCATTGTAAACCATGACAGTCACTTCGTAGTAGGTGTCTGGGTAGAGTCCAACGATGAGACCTCTGTCCACGTCACCCGGTATGGTGGCCACCTCTGCCATCAGGGAGTTCTCACGTCCACGGACCCAATAGTTGATCTGATAAAATTGAGTACCAAATACATAAATTAATCTAAATCTCATATCACTGATATAAACATTTAATAAATCTGACAAAAATACATGAATTCTCATCCTTATATCACTGGGATAAATCCTCATTCTGACTGAGATAAAATCTCTTAACACACAAATTAAACTAAAAATCACCAAGATGAAAAATTCTTATACTGTAATGATAATATTAATAATACTTATAGTGATAATAAGAAGAATATTTATTAGCAACATAAAGTTGGATAGTACATATTTAATTACAGTAAAGTGGTAAATCTAAGAAAAACATACCAGACACTGAAACTTTCTCTAAACTAAATTTAAAAAAACATTTTAAAGACGTTTTTTACTTTCAAGATATGAAAGCTGTTAATTGTAAACTGTGGCTGCCAAACAATATTTTTTCAGAAGATTAAGAAAAGTGTGTCAATTATGTGTCAGTAAATCTTTACTATTAAATTTCCACTCACCCTGTATCCAGCAAGGACACCTTTAAGGTTAACAAAGGTGTTTTGTACAGGTATCCAGGTGACCTCCAGTGCGGTAGCGTTATACTGTTCTGCCACAATGTCCTTGGGGACGGCTACTGGCACTGAGGTGAGAGGAAGGAAAAGACTGATTGAAATCAAAGTTGTTGTAACAAAGTCTCTTTTTCAGTAAAAAAAAAAAATATTAATAATAATAAAGAAAACTATGAAAAATCACTTTAAGACCGACAACCTTTCTTCTTTCTTTGGGAGTTGAGAGTTTGATAACAAAAGACTATAAGAAAAATAATTTTCATTTTCATTTCTTCAGATCACATCTTGATCTGGACTTCAATTCTAAAGTCCATTCTGTAGACCAACAAGTACCACTTAAATCCTGACCAGCATTAAGTGGTCAGTGGCAGTGGTCAGTGCATACTTACATCCCATAGCAGACCTGATCTCGACAATGGGTGAGATGAGGGCGTCGGATGTGCCCTTGACATTCATGGACTGAATCTTGATGTCATACAGAGTGTACGTGTTATCTACGCCAACTGTGGTGGCAAAGCGATGGCCAGGGTCATCCACGATACCCTGCAAATGTGAACCAGTTCCTCTTAATAACACAAGTGAGATGACAAGAATATCCTTAGTGACTTAAATTTTTCAATTTTCAGTATTAACAGCCATTCAGGTAGTGTAAGAAAAGAAGATTCTTTTACAAAAACTCCTTTTTTTATTGCACAGAAATATGTCTGATTTAAAAAAAAAGTGAACCCACCGTAGACCAGTCAAGATCACTGACTTTGCCCTGTTGGTTTTTCCTGTAGTAAATCTTGTATTTTGTGTTGTTACCATGCTGCTCCCATCTTGGTAAAGGCTGGAAAAGAAAAAAGATGATTTATCATCTACAGGTTATCTTCCACAGTTTTGGTGTATCTTAAGCTACTATTTTCTAATTTTACTTGAAGATCGACTGAAATGCCTGTGTGAGAAAACAGGAAAATATATATTAAGATTTGAATTAATTTATTCAACTATTCAAATGAAAACCACTGACAAAATTAGATTTTCAAAAATACTGATATAAACATTTTTGTCTAAACAGGCTTAATACAGACTTTTCACAAAGTATACAAAAAATTTTTTATTTTTTACATTTTTGGTAAAAGAACATTATTTTCTTTTTAAAAATTGGAATAGTAAATCAAAACCATCATGGATATTAAAAAAAGAAAATAAAATGGCCATCAACTCCCACCTCCCACTCCACAACGAGGGTGCCAACTTTGGAGTCCACGGCTCTGGTGATATTCCTGACTGGCCGGGCCGGGATGGACTGGGCAGTGGTTACCATGGCTACAAGTAAACAACTTCACACATAATCTATAGACAACATTCACCCACACACACATTTACTATAAAATTTTACTTCCTCTCAGTAACATAAAAAAACTTATGCAATTCTCACGATAGATTAGATTCAGGCTGCTGGAAAGTTTCTAGCTTTACAAGTTGACATTGATTATTGCTGAACATATATACAGATAATGGAAAAAAAATATTAAATTTATTCTTTTTGGTCTATATTTTCCAAGCACTAATTTATTAGAAAAGCCAAAACATGAATATACTGTTAGTGCATTTACAGGAAAAACATCACGACAAAAACAATAGCAATTAATAACTGACTGAACATGTTTCAGCTACTCACGAGAAGGTTTGCTGGGTTCGCCCCATCCGTAACCGTTCTTTGCCAACAATCTAAACTTGTAGGTACTCCATGGGTTCAGTCCCGTCACTGTGGCTCGTCTGGCCCCTAACTCTGCCTGCGTGATCACTAGAATTCCATAACACCACATTAGAAATTATCTCAATAAGATCTTGGTACCTTTATAATGTTATACAAATACAATAATTTAATAAATCACAATTGAAGAAGTTTTGACAAAGAAGAAAACTTTTGTATTTTGTGAACTGGGCGAGTTCAACGTGCTATGTATTATGGAATTTTATTCTCCATATTTAATTCAAAAACTTTTTGACACATTCCTAAGCAATAGATTAAAGGCATGAATCACTCAAAGGAAAGTCCGTAAAGGAAAAAATAAGGTATAGTGAAAAGTGACAAACAATGAATCACTCACTTTCTGGTTCTTTGGCAGTTTTCCAGATCCCCTCGGCAGTGTTATAGCCCTCAATCTTATACTGCTGTATGGCACTGCGATGATCAGGTCCTGGGAACCATGTGACATTGACAGAACTGGAGTTCAAGGTCACACACTCAATACCTGACGGCTGGCCTGGGGGACCTAAAACATGACAAGAGATGTCCAGGAATTATGGCCTCTAAGGGACAGACAAATAGTCTTACTGGTGAGAAATGGTTCATCAATTTACCACCTATCAGTTCCAATAATTTTTTTGGAAATGTGGCATATTTAGAGCTCAATAAAATACTATCATAAAACAATTGTTGACAAAGATCATTCCAGTAATGAATTTTTCAATCTCAAATAATAAAAAGTAAAAATTCTTATACCTTCAACTCTGAGCTCCACTTTAGCGGAGGCCTGATCGGCAGGTGTTTTAGCTATACACTCATACCAGCCCTCCACGTCAAATGTTACCGGGTAGATTAACAGGTTACCACGGTATTCACCAATTCCCTAGAAACACAGTAATGCCATGTTTTTATTTTGATATAAAAATACAATGTATTAAAATTGTTTTGAATATTATATAAACCACTATATATTACAAATAGCTAGGTAACAGTTTAGGTAGGGATACTCAATTCGCTGAATAAAAAAGCTTGGGCCCTTACACTATATGCAAGTTCATACAGCCTTCACCCATACAAAGATCTTTATAAACTACATTAAATATTTATAAAATAACTTCATAAAAATTTAAAAAACAAAGACAAGAGCTCCTTACCCTTTGCCAGTATCTGTCTGGTTCCTCCACACGCAGCCCATACTGGTCGTACTTGCCCTCAAAGTCGATATCGCGGTCATTAAACCGCCATATGTAGTTGAGGTCGAGCAGTGGGTTGACGGTGGCAAGGCAGTAGAGGGTTAGGTTCTGACCTACGTATGTGGTCCTGATTGGAGGAGACTGCTCTGACGGCTTCATCTGGAGACTGGTGGATTCTGATGTATGAAAAAATGCAGATTTAAAATAGTGGCCAGAAGAAATTAAAGCACTCAAATGCAGTTTAGATATGGCGGACCTCCGCCAAGGCAGCTCAAATTTCAAGATAAATCCATGAACAAATCACCACCAAGATCTAAGTAACTGATTCTAAGTAAGCCCATATCCTTAAAATTTTGTCCATTACTTTTTCAGACAGGTCAGTTAGGTAGCAACCCAATAATGATAAAAAAAATGGTGGAGGTAATAATTTTTTATTCAAAACCAACACTTTAGCACTTATTAAGGGAGGTACTCACAAATATATCCCTAAAAAGATAAAATATTTTTTGGAAAAATAATTAAGCAAATTCTAAATAAAACTTTATATTTCACTTAGTCTTAACTTCTTTATTCGGATGAAAACTGAAATATTCTCTTATCTATCAAGCAACCAATTTATAAAATTCAAGTCAAAATAAGAATCAATTAAATTCATGATCAGAATCAAAATTCTCCCTACCTACTACAGTCAGGAACCCAGTACTCTCGGCTGACCCGACATCATTCTCAGCAACACAGGTGTAATTTCCCCTGTCACTGTACTGGACTGAACGAATCAAGAGGTTGCCATTGGGCAGTTTACTGATGCGTCCACCACCCGTCAGTGTGAGGGAGCCACCGTCTTTCTTCCAGGTGATTTTCTCCACTTGGACCTTGGGCGCAGCTTCAGGCTGGCAGACGATGGTGACGTTACCTCCCTGGACGGCAAACTGGTTGGGGTCGACTGGGTTCTTGATGAAAGATGGTGCAAATCCTAGAAGATGAAGAAGGGTTGACATTTAATTATAAATATGATAATGGTTATGTATTACTTATATTCATTTCTATCTGTTCATAGTTCTATCTTGTTTATAGTTTATCTTGTTCTTAAACCACAAGTACTAAAAGTCATTTCTGTATAGTTAATAAATTTTACTCAAAGGCCCAAATCATGAAAACAATCAACTTACTCATCACTTTCAGTTCTCTGGTCAAGTATCTCATTGCATACTGATTCTTAGCCCCGCACTGATACATTGCAGAATCCCACTGCTTCAAGTTTTGGATGGTCAGACGATCTTTTCTCTGAGTCCAGGAGAAACGGCCCACTTCATTGGCAGGCAGTGTGTTCTCACTGAGGGGTAAACCGTTTTTGAACCAGAAGTAGTCGACTTCTGGTTTTCCATTGGCCCGACAGCTCCAACTGACGGAATCACCCTGATCCACGAACTCATCCTTCCAGGAGACCAGGAAATAAGGCTCGGCTAAGGGGAAAATTGAAACAAAATTTTAAATCTTACGAATTTCAAATAAATCAGTAAAAAATGTCTATAACCTGAACACTATTTCAAAAAGAAATGAACAAATAATAAAAAGTAATAAAATAAATAAATAAAGGCTCACGGCCTACCTTCCAGAGTAATGGTAACAGTTCCAGTGGCCGTCTGCCCAAATTCTCTCTGCACTCTACACTCGTAAGTCCCCTCGTCTGCAAGCTCCACACTGGGGATGATCACGACACGGTTGTTATCTTTAGTGATAGCACGACGTGGCATGTTCTTACCATCAGTTCTTCCCCACTGGTAGAATAGGTTGTTTCTATGAAGAAACAAAAAGGGGTGAAATGTAAGACTTGCTGCTACCAAACTGAATTGACATCTATATAATATGTAAACATGTTTAATAAGCCTGGGTATAAAATTATAAGTGAGGTTGAAGCTAAGATTTGTAAATAAAAACATCATCAAGTAAAACTGACCTAGTACTTGGGTATAAAATGATGTCACATAAGTATAACTGTCAAATGTTATATATTCCTTTTGGCTAACAAAATGGCAATTCATTTTTCCATTTGATAAAGAAATCTCTCATATTCTAGACAATTCTCACAAAAACAAAATAACTGATCCCAGCATTAAAACTTGATCAATTCACTGACATTCCCCAGCACCAAAACTTTATCAATTCACTTACGTTCCCCAGGCAAAGCACTCCAGTCTAATCTCCATGCCTCTCAGTAAGGCTGTGTTCTGAGGAAACAGTTGAGGAAAACCACTCACGATCTGGGGCTCCACAATACGGGACACTTAAAATAAACAATAAACGAGTTTTGATTACAATAAAAATCGATGGATTTATTACTCTTCTAATTTCAAACACATGGAGAAAGTGTAAGATGTAAAAAATATTAGAACCATATGAGAGAAAATATAAGGACAAAAAACCTTTGACTCACAATCAACTGGAAAACTCACTTTAATATTGGTAAGATACAGGTCCACCAAATAAGTGCCAGAAAATTCTTATTTTCATTTGCCACAAACAATCCACATAAACAGTATGGGAAAAAAGAAACAGCAATAGTTAAATACTTACATCCTTTCGTGACAATCAGCTGGATGGGTTTGCTAAACTTTCCAGTATTAGAGGTGGAGATGGGACTGTACACGTGACAGATGTAGTTTCCAGAATCCTCCTCCGTCACAGAAGAGAAGTAGATGTAACCAGACTGAGAGATGAAGACCCAGGGTTTCACATCAGTACGGATGTAGTCTCTCAGAGTGTTCTTGTACCACTGATAAATTAGCTCTGAAAATAATATTGTGTTTGAAAATTTACTGTATCACCAATAATACTATCCTCATATTCAGTGATACAGTAAAATTGTATACTGTAATGATTATGAAAAAATAAAGAAATAACATATAATTCCCTAATCACAGTCATGGTGATGAAATTGAATCTTTAAAAATAATTCTTAAAGTGCTGAAGATGGGCAGCAAAAATGATAAGTCCGAATTTCCAGATAAATTCAAAAGACTTAAATCTCTACCATCAAACTGAGAAGAAAGCGGTTCCGTCTTACCTCCATAGTGATTGGGTGCGTTGCAGGGAATGGCGGTCCCCACAGTGACAGAGGTTTGTACTGGCTGACGAATCACGTTAGGGAAGTCATCCAAAACTAGTGAAAAGAGAAAAAATGTTTTAAAAATGAAAAGATGTACATTGTTGTGCTGATCTTTAGAAAGAAATATCCTGAATTATGCTCTTGGTGTAAATTTGCTCAGCCTGGGTACTATCACAGACTTGACCATTCAGTCTACAAATCAACCAACTAAGCATAAAATTCTTTGACAAAGTTCTTGATTAAATTGCTATATCTTAATTCTGAGATAAGTTTGGATTGTTAGAAAAAAAGTATGAAGAAATGGCTTGGTGACCTTACAATCGAGGGGGGCTGCCATAAGACAGAAAACTACCAGAAAAAAAATACATAAATCACTGAAAAGCATGTCTGTACCAGAGAGTACACAAAGTGCTGAGACAGAACAAAATGTGACCTATGTTAACCCCGCCCATACAGGGGAAAAAACTGCCATTTCGTGAAAATAAGTCAGAAAATATGGCGTGTGGTTCAGAGAACTGATAAATTAAGCCAATGATGATTTTGGCTCCCAAAAAGTCAGAAAAATCTCGTCCCTGCCATACTTACATCCAAACTGCAGTTGGACTTGGTTGCTGAGAACTGAACCATATTTGTTACTGGCCACACACTGGTAGTTGCCAGAGTCCAGAGTCTTGGACGGAGTGTGGATAGTCAACTTGCCGTTGTTAATTGTGTACCTAGATTACGTTCAACAGAGAGTATTTTAAAAAGTTGCAAAGGTAGTGTGAATTTGTAGTTTTTTGGCATTTTCCATGCTTGGTTTGCCTTCCTGTAATTGTGTTAAAATTGATTCTCAAACTAAATGTTCATTTAGTCATGGATATTGAAACTCATCTTACCACATATGTTAAAGAAGGATTTGGCTCAATCTTTTTACTCAAAATTAATGGACTCAAATCTCAACATTTTAAGTTCCATATAAAAATCATTCAACACGAAACTGACAGTCATCTACCTAGAAGGGATGAGACAGCCATTTAGAGAAAAAGTAAAAAAAATATGATAGGGGCACCAGGGGATGCCTGCAATGATATCAAAAATTATATTTTTGGCTAAAAAAAGCCTGAAATTCGGCAATAATCAGAAAAATCTCATAACAGCATCTTTCCATACCTTGGTTCCTGCAGTGCCAGCTCTGACAGCGGGGTGGAAGACGTCTGCGCTATTTTCCTCCAGTCGTATGTGGCAAATGGATATCCATCAGCATAGCACGAGAACGTCACATATGTTCTCTTGGATGAGGTATCAAACACTGTGTCTTGTGGCTGCTCAGTTATCTTGGGTCCACGCTCGTAAAACTCTGGTTCTTGGACCGTGGATCCAAAACCTTGAAATGAAAATGTCAGAGGGTTCGGTAATACAGTCAATTAATCAAATGGTTTCTCCATTATGCTAGCTGAATTCAATTTTATTTCATAAAATATTTTTCTTGTCTCATGTCTCTTTTTAATCTTTCAAGAAAACCCTAGCTCTCACCTGCATCGCGTTCAGACTCTACAATCTTGTAGATATCTGTGTTGGGAATCTCACAGATAAAAGACAACTCAGCCTGCCCGTCATTTAGTGTCCAACCCCAACGATTATCTGGGAAAGAAAAATTCAAAAATGTTAGAGAAATACTTAAAAATAAATAAATAAATAATAACAAAGCATATTTATTTTTCAAAATTGAAGATTTTCATGGCTAACCCATATTTATTTTCCTTTAGATAATAAGTACCTTTAGTTACTTTTAGAATGTTTACATCATGGAAATAAGCAAAATTTGCCAAATGAACACCAAGAATAAAATACTGAAAAGTATCAATAATATTCTATTTCACACACCACCATACCTCTTTCACATGTTATATCAATTTAATTTTTTTTTGTCATAACACATGCTGGCCCATACTGATGTGCAAAGAGAGTGCATTCCAAGTACTATACCTATACTAACACTTAAACAGTGATAGGGGTTTACAACTTGGATCATATATAAATGGTACATTAAAACCAAGAGTTAAAGACAATTAATATGGAGGTGATAAAGTATGCAACAAATGAATCAAATGCCTCCCATGCCTTCTCACCTTGGAATGTATAAATAATATAATTTCCA